CAGTTTGATGTCAGTGAAGGTGAAGGGGTGGTGGGGAGGGAGGGGAAGAGAATAGTGGAAATGGTGGAGCGAAGGGAGAGGTAGGCTTGTGTTAAACAAATTTGATAAAACTTGGTATCCATATTGCCGTTAGAACCTTAGCTCTGTTAATTTCAAAATTACATAGCAGAGTGTGATGTGTTTGAACAAAATTGGCAGGAACAGAAAACTTTCTATTCCCACAAAATTAACTATGGGAGCTCAAAATTAAGTATGGGAGTTATGAGCTCACATCGTCTGTCCCTAGGGGATAGAAAATTTTCTGTCCCCACCAATGAAATGTTGCCACACCACCTTTTATTTTTGAAACTCAAATTTCATGACGTCCAGAGTTAACGACAATCTGAATTCTAAAAAACACTAAATTTTATTAACCCGCTCAAGTGTCTTCCCTTTCATATCTCTCATAAACACTTATTTTCTTCTTCCCTCCTCATCGCCATTACAACCACTGCAGCCCCTCATTCGTATCTCTTCCTCCTTCTGCTTTGCTTTAGACTTAAGATTATCAGTAGAGCAACCCTACTTCAGAGTTCACATTTATGGTCAAGAGCCCTAAGCCCTGAACCAGAATTTTGGTCCTTATCAATGATAATGAGATTTAATAAATAATAAACTCCAAATAACCACCACAAACACTGTTTTTTCCATATAAGATATGAATCAATTTTTAGTATTTATTGTGAATTCTCCTAGAGGGTCATTTTAATATTTAGGGAAAATTCCCTATCAGCACCTTGTACTTTGGCTCGAGTGATAATTTGGTCCCTAAACTTTAAAATGTGGCAATCTAGTATCCAAACTTTTAAAATGTGACAATCTAATACCTGTCGTTAATCAGTCATTAAGTGACATTTGAAAAGTAAAAAATGCCCTTTGAATGCCATCTAATTCTCTTTATCAACCATCCAAACGTTGACAAAAAACTGAACATTCCCAAATCCTAGCATCTTCTATTCAAAAATGTAGGTGATTGTTTAGAAGAATCTAGAATTTGAGATTGTTCGTTTTATTGTCAATGTTTGGATGGTTGACAAAGAGAATTAGATGGCAGTCTTAGGGCATTTTTGACTTTTCAAATGTCATTTAACAGCTGATTAACAGGTTGGTTAATGACAGGTATTAGATTGTCACATTTTGAAAGTTTGGATACTGGACTGTCACATTTTGAAAGTTCGGATACTGAATTATCGCATTTTAAAGTTCGGGGACCAAATTGTCATTCGAGCCAAAATACAAGGTACTGATTAGGAATTTTCACTAAACAAATGTCTCATGTCCACACGCATGAAACCATGCAAAAGGGTTGGTAGGTGCACAGATGTAATCCATCAATTCATAACTAAGAAAATGAAATCCAGAATAAGCTACAAGGACATCACCAACCCCACTAGGCGAGAGACCCTACAAAAAAGTAAGAATGAACCAGAGTTTCAATGAAGATCTTTGACACACAACGGTGCTTATTCCCTAAGTAGTACAAAGGGCAAAGGAATGAACTAGAGTTAGGGTTTGCAACAGGACACATGGATTTGAACTCTAAGGGTCCTCGAGCTCTGGCAGGAGAGAGTAACCTAGAAAAAAAAAAAAAGATAGAACATGAAAGTTGGTTGCAATAGTTTCACACCAGAAAAGTGGTATAGCTCCTAACCGGCCAACTGGTTGTTGTTGGATCTCAAAGAAAGAAAACCCTAATACTCAATGACCGACTTGGAGACCGAACCAGTTAGGGGTCTGGTTACCAGGTTGAATGGTTCAACCGTTTGAACCAAACGGTCGACCCATTTTGACAAAAAATAAAAAATGGTCAAAACCGTTCGAACGGTTAACCACCTGGGTCAGCGGTTTACTGACCAAAATTAACGGTTTTTGAAGAAAATCCGATTTTGGGGAAAACCGAAATCGATCACCTGATCGGTTCCCGATTTTTCCGGTCCGGTCCAGTTTTGAAAACCATGAAGAGGAGTTTGTGAGAGGTACGAAAGGGAAGAGAATTAGGCGGGTTAATAAAATTTAATATTTTTCGGAGTCCAGACTGCCGTTTAAGTCCAAACTCTGTTAAATTAGAGTTTCAAAAATAAGGCGGCGTGGTAGCATTCCATTGGTGGGGATAGAAAATTTTTTGTCCCCTGGGGACAGATGATGTGAGCTCGGGAGTTATTCTCGATGCATGGCTGAAAGCACTGAGATTGGTCTATGTAAGAAGTAAATGTGGATTGGGAAATTGTCTAAAACCCACCATGAGTTTTCAGCATTTCTCTTAAACTCACTTCAACTATTCAAAATGTCTAAAACTCACATGTCACTAACTTGACATTAAGTAGACTAACGGGTGTTAATATATTACCATTTTAACCTTCATAGGAAAATATAAAATATATATAAAATAAATTAATGGGTGTTAATATATTACCATTTTAATATTTAGACATAAAAAAGGAAAAAGTTCAAAAAATATTTTCAAGTATAAAATACATAGAAATTATAAAGAATATAAAAATTATAGAAATTGCAAATATAAAATACACCAAAAATTATAGAAAACACAGAAATTGTAAATAAATAACAAAAATACAAGAAAATTTATAAATTGTAGAAAATAGAAAAATGTAAAAACAGAAATTATAAAAAACACTAAAAATGTAAAAAAAAAAAACAAGAAAACTGAAAAGGACCATTTTTCCTCTAACTCACCATTAAAGGGTAATTTGGTCATAAAAATGTTATTTATGCTAATATTGACACCTTTATTAAGAAGCATTAGCACGGAAAATGAATTTTGAAAAATAAAAACTTAATGACATGATAAATTTTAGACATTTTGAAAAGTTATGATAGAAATATTAAAAACTCATGACAATACACATAAGACTTATACTAGACCATATATATAAGAATATTTTATTGTGATAACTATATAAAAATATACTTGCGTGTTCAATTGCCATTACAGATCTGGCAATTGAACACAGGGATGTCCATTAATTAGTTTACAAAAGTATATGTTGAACTAATGATTTACATTGATATCAGTACCTAACGCAGGGTTTCAAAAATTGAACAGAACTAGAAAACCGAACTGATCGGTGATTTCGAGGTTAGTGATTCAAGTACTGTCCCGTTCGAACAAATCAGAGGTTAGTGTTTCAACTGTTGTTCGAATTTATCTTAGCCATTCAACCATTTGGATCAATCAGTGCTTTGCCGAACGAGTCTAAAACCAATTATGAAACTTTTAGGCAATCGATTATCAGGTCGAACAGTTGGACCACCCAGATCAACAACTTTCGCAAAACCATGATTTAATGCACCAATACCAGTTATCTAGTAATGATTAGCATTATACATGTTTCTGTATTTTGTTAGTTTGGATAATTATCTCGTATAAGCTCTCCCAGTTACATTCTATCGTGTATTGGGTACATTGTAAGAGAAAACAGTGTTTATTTTTTATTTAGAACTGGTGCTGCTATTTAGGTTGTGAAAATAACACTGTTTTATTTAATATTAGTGTTGATAATAATATTTTCAATATGTTCTATATTATTCAACATATAAGATGATATCATAATAATGCAATATTATTATATCGTTAATTAATAGTAATACATCATTTTTTTCAAAAAAAAACAATAAATTTATCACTACTCTAAACCATATTTTCCCGATTTTCAATACATAATATAAAACAATATTTTTTTTAAAAAACAGTATCAAATAAAATGACATTTTTTAAAATATCGCTTTCTCTAATGTAGTGCCACCCACCTAAAAGATAGCCATATATGCTGTGAAGTCGGTGTGAGAAACGCTTTATAAGAAACGGACTCGAGGGAGGGAACCTCACACGCGCCTTACATGCACATCTCCTCATCAGCATGCATTGGGAACATCCTGCTTTGAAAACGGTACTTGTCAGGGGAAATGTAGTGCACAGTTAGGATGTACCGTAGGACGCGTGTGAATCCGCGCTTTGTAAGAGCCAATAAGAATTCATCTGCAGGTCGGTGGCATCTTCTCATCCGCAAAACAGTCATCATATTTTTTATAAGGACAAAACCGTCATTATGACGATGCTTTTGGGGTAATGGGTGATGGTTTAGCTGTTGCATTTTGTACGTTTTACCATTTTATACATTTTTTTTATGGATGCTTCACGAAGTTAGATAAGAGTCCGTTTGATTTACAGGAATAAGATTTAGAATTGAAATTGGAATGGTTATTTCGAATTTTCGGCTTCAACCATTTGGTTTGATATAATTAAAATTCCATTGTGTTCCTGGTGTAATGCATTCTATTATTAGAGGGCATGCCCTTTCTATCTATATCCTTTGAAAATGAAATCCTATTTCAACTGATTATAATTCTATTCCTATTCCTGTCTCAACCAAACGAATTATAAGAGAATACGTCATTCCGATTTTCCAATTCCGTCTGCAACCAAACGGACACTCAATTTATTGGCATTTGTTCTTTTATGATTTCTTCGGCGTGTTTGACGATCATTATTACATACCATACCACCGCCGTGTGTTGACCCACCACTAACCTATAAAGTATAGTGCAGACATTTCCAGCTCCTTTGTCACCGACGCTCGTGATCTTTTGAAAACTTTTTTTTCCTTTCTTCTTTTACCCTTCTGAACAATGTAGCTCCAAGTAGTGGAACTCTCTACACATTTAAACTATTCAATCGTGGTCAGAGGCACGTAACATGGGTTGTTCCCTTTTAACACTGGTTCAATGTGAAAAGGGATTCAGTTCATATGCATTAGTACAAGGTGGGGTATATCATATGGGATTTCAATATATATTCCAATCCGACAAATGAAAATCGCTATCTACTTTTATCCCAAATCCTTTATTCCATTGGTTGGTATGTGACGGCCATGTCTTCATGCATGAGATTTCTCTGGAAATTACTGTTTTATCCCAAATCCTTATATAAGCATTACTAGCTACAAGGTTACTTATCACTTGCTGCTCCCTCTTCCACTACTCTCCTCTCCTTCTGTGGTTCGGCTTCAATGGCGCGTAGCATGCGCTTATTTTCAATTCTCTTCGTCGTTCTGTTCCTGCTCACGGCTACTGGTTCTTCTCTCCCCTATCTTTCTCTAGAATTTTCTTGCTCTTCTTCACGATAGCCATCTTTCATTAGTTTCTGATTCATGTCATGGGTGGTGGTGGTACTGGTAGTAATCCGGCACCATTAGTTTCTGAGCACTCATTTTACCGATGCTAAGGAGCTCCTGAGCCTGATCATGGCTCAGACGCGATATAGAAAACCTGTCTTATGAGAGGACTTCAGATGGAAAGTTACTTGGGCAAAATAATCTTTCCATCTCAGGATGATCTCTGTAGAAGAAGATGTGCCCAAATCAGTAGTTCTCCCTAGTGTGCTAGCTATGCTTTATGTCTTGAATTCAATTAACAAGCACTGACAAGTATTTGGTGTTCAATTGAACTTTGTAACTGCAGGGATGGGGCCAAAGGTGGCTGAGGCAAGGACCTGCGAGTCACAGAGCCATCGCTTTAAAGGGATATGCGTAAGGAAGAGCAACTGTGCTGCTGTTTGCCAAACGGAGGGATTCCACGGAGGGCACTGCCGAGGCTTCCGACGCCGATGTTTCTGCACTAAACATTGTGCATGAGATTTCTTCACAAACGTCAGTCGTCGATCGGCGACTAATTAGCATGCTTTACATCATCCATCTCTCCTTTCTGGTTCTAGTGTGTGCCTACAAATAAATTGGGGAGCATCTCTATATGGAGTCCACTGTGTGTGTCTTCGTTTTCCAGTTTTCGGTTGTGTAATTTTAAGTTTTATGTGTGTCTCAATCTCTGCAAAACCTGTTTTTCCTTCACTTATCAACGATCTCTCTCTCTCTCTCATACACACACACATCCACAATCTTCCTTTTATATTTCCATAAAATCAAGAGTTCAAGACCGGTGAACAGTACCGTTTCAGTAGGAATTGGAATTAAGGGTGGAAATGAAGGAAAGGAGGTAGTCCTGAAAAATTTTCCAAATAATTGGACTATTTGAGTTCAGTAGCGTAATTTGCGAACTTGCAGTATTTAAGCACTCAACTCTGTTGCGTGACAAAAATGGTCATTTATGACAATGACAAACAGCAGTAAAGGATGGATAGCTACAGATTGCAACAGAATTCCCAAGTCTGGAACATACCTTTGTGATTTTCTTCCTGTTTTTATGACTGTCCATAAAGGGGCATTTTTGGCTAGACAAACCTTTTCTCTTATTCAACAGTAAGGATGATGACGGTGAAGGCAATCTTATCATGTCACTATCCTGCAATTTATGTTTTTCAGAGATAAAGCTGAAAAGCTACAATGAATAAATCAAAGGAATAACTTAATATTGAAAGAATAGTAGGATCCATCGTATGAACGCCAAAAGGGTTACGAAATGGGTGGACGAATTTCAAAAATTTTCTATCTTTCTTCCAACTGGGAATCGTATTCTCTGATTTTAGAATCAAAATTCAAGGATTCTATTTTAACTAAACCAGACCAGATTTGGACCAAAAGGGAAGTGAGGGATTATACCTGATCCGGAGAAGCAGTATCTCCCAACGTTGGTGTTCACACCCAAATAAGATCCCAAGATTAGCTCCCACTGAAGATGACACAGTGATGATGGAGCCCAACCAGCAGTGTTCGTCCCACGAACCAGGTTCTTCTGAAGAACTCGATGGAAGGCTGAGAGCACCACACGAACAATCAAGAACCTTTCTTGATCTTTTCTAACTGAGAACTCGAACTGGTAGAAAAGATGGCGGCGGCTGCTAGAGGTGAATGCCAAAGAAGAAGGTGGCGAACAACTATTTTCTTCTCTAGGGTTATCTGAGATCCTATCTCAAGAATGCAAAGTGTGATCTGCTAAAACACCTAGGGTTCGAATTCAAGTATTTCGAAATTAGGGTTTTCTCCTCTTTCTTGGTGATTAAGAAACCTCATAATCATATTAGGAGTTGCCCTTATCCAAATCTGTATTTGGATTAGGACTCCTCTTAATCCTATCTGCAGATTAGATCAGCTTTTAGGCTTAACTTAATCTCAGATCCGTCCCTTTAAGTGACTGATCAAATCAGCATAGGTCGAAATGGGCTTTAGGCCCAATATGTATTAAGTGCTCGGTAGTCTTCTAAACTGTTACCTAGTTGGGCTTCTTTGTATGGCGTGGGACCCAAGCATTGATCTACACATCAGCCACATGGTCTAGCCGAATTCACTAGAAAGCCCAGTGAACCCCTTGAGCCCATCAYATGGACTTTATGGGCCCAACACTTACACTAAGTGGTCCCTGGGCCAAGCCATCTTATAAAAACCCAGGGACTATGGGTAGATGCAAGATTAGCCCATCAGGTATTATCCTATAATGGCCTTACACTTAACCTCTCAGCCCATAATGATCAAGCACTGCCCGGCAAGAGAGGACCTCTCCCTCGGCTGCAAGGAACAGTGTTGCACTCTCTACTCACATGGATCCCGGGAATTAAAACCATCTGCAAACATTTTGAAACCATATATATCTATATATCATATATATATAAATTTTGCAAAACAAAATTCCAACGATTGAAATCAACTGTCGGTAGTTTGGTTTCCATCAAAGAGAGTGCATCCCTGATCATTACATTTGTCCGACAAAGGGGCTGATCCCGTCACTATGATCACCCACTCAGATGAATTCTTAGACTGTCCCAACATACCCAGGTTTTGACCCCCATTAAGGATCTCATGATTAACATATCAAAAACAACCCAATCCAACACCCAGTGCAGTACCATAATCGGGTCTAGGGGTCATGTGTAAATTTCCAGTTTTGCCCATCAATCTCCAAGGTCCAGGGCAATACTGGAAATCTGGTCTGGTTCAAGGGTTCAAGTAATCCTACACTATGTGTGCCTTGGGTCTCACCCTAGCGGCTAAGACAAGTCACCCCAACATTTGGCAGCACACCAGCGTCAGCCTTGGCAGGATAAATCTCCCTAGACTTATCCAACAGTTGTGAATATTTAAAACTAACATAAGTCTCATTAAGTGTCCAGTTTCAGGGTCTTACACAGAATCATACCACACAACATGAATCAAACATGTACTTTATTTATTTACACTAAATATCAAAAGTACATCAAAACTGATTGGAGCTAAGGGCATACAAAACTGTCCAACAAATATATGGATAGTATTAGATAATGATCCAACTTATGTATCTATCCAATGCATGCTTATCCTCATTTACTCAACATTAAAGTGTTCTAATAGAATTCAATCACTTGGACCTATATATGTAACTCAATCACTTTAATAAAATTATCCATCATCTTTTCTCTTACGTTATCTTTTATGGTATCAGAGCTCTAGGTCACCATGGTCAATAACACCAGTTCTACTTCGATCTCTTCTGCTTTAACCCTTCAAACCCAAACTAGACAACTCCAGATTGGAAGCATGCTCATCACAAACCTTGGTCAGCTCGTCACTGTAAAGCTGACCAAGGTTGTTCATCACAAACCTACTATACTAAGTGCCCATGTTGCCCAATGTGGACATCAACGAGGAGGGTATAGATTCAATCATAACAAGAACAAAGGTCAAGATAATCGGTCTAGACAAAACCAACAGACCACTGGTGAAAATAAAAAGATGAGTATTGATCTTGGACCTTGTCAGATCTGTAAAAAAAAAAAAAAAAAAAACATACTGCAAAGAATTGTTATTTCAGGTATCACAAAGATGGTGATTCAGACCAGGCAGCAAACTCAACAACAAACTCAATCAATTTTGCTTTCACAGATAATGATAGGAGTTGGTATCCATATTCTAGAGCTACAAATCATCTAACTTTATAGCTCGGTAACTTGAAATTTCACTCCTCTTACAGTGGGACAGATCAGATTCGAACTGCAAATGGAACAAGTTTGAAAATTAAGAATGTTGGTTCTTCTTGTATATAGTCTTCTTCACGACCTCTCATTCTTAGAAATGTATTGCATGTTCTAGAAATTACCAAAAATCTATCATCAGTTGCTCAGTTTTCTGCAGACAATGATGTGTTTTTTGAGTTTCATCCTCGTTTCTTTGTTGTGAAGGATTGACAAACAAAGAAGATCCTATTGGAAGGGTCGATTAGCAATGGTCTCTATAAACTGCCGAATGAACAAAAATCCCAAAGTACAGAAAATCTTGCTCTCGTAGGAGAAAGAACTTCAATGGATCTTTGGCATCGGCGTTTTGGACATCCAGCACCCAACATTGTTAGACAAGTAGTATTCAAGAATAAATTGTCGGTTAGCTCCGATAAATCATTAAGCTTTTGTTCTCCCTGTCCCATGGGTAAGAGTCACAAGTTACCATTTTCAGCTAATTCACCTACTGTTATTGCACCATTATAGTTGATATTTGCAGACATTTGGGGACCTGCCTTTTCATGGTGGTTTTAAATATTATATAAGTTTTGTTGATGTTTTTAGTAAATACTTGTGGATTTTTCCTCTCAAACTAAAGTCTGAAACCCTAAATGCTTTTATCAAGTTCAAGACCAATGTTGGAAATATACTCGACTGTTCTATTAAGGCCCTACAAACTGATGGTCGGAAGGAGTTCTCTTCTTTTCATCCCATTCTTGAGTAGTGTGGTATATCACATAGGCTAAGTTGCCTTCACACCTATGAACAAAATGGTTGTGTTGAAAGAAGACATAGGCATATAACTGAGAGTGGTTTAACTTTGCTTGCACAAGCTTCCATACCCATGCATTTCTGGTCAGAATCTTTCTATATTGCTGCTTATTTATACAATAGAATGCCTAGTAAAGTCATTGGATATGTCTCACCATGGGAGAAACTTTTTCACACCAAACCAAATTATTCCTTTCTTAAGGTTTTTGGCTATGAATGTTTTCCTTACTGAGACCTTACAATCTGCATAAGATGGATTTCAGATCCACTCCCTGCATTTTCATTGACTACAGCCCAGAACATCATGGCTATAGATGTCTTCATTTTGCAACTGGACAATGGTACATATCTTGCCATGTATTATTTAATGAAACACACTTTCCTTTCAAGGACCTGCCCTCTTCCATCACACTAGTACAACAATCATCTCAACCGGCCCCGCTACCCGTCACCTCAATTATTTTACCCAAACCCGGTTTCACCATTAATACAGCATAGCTATCTCCGATAGCTCTCCCACTTTGATGAATAATGAAACCCCTCCTCCCCCTTCCCTTTCTTCATCTCCTAGTGTTGACCATGCTCCATCATCTTCTCCACCTCCCTTACCCTCATTACCTATATCAGCACCACCTAACACCTCTATCATTCATCAACCTCCACCACCCTCCAACACACACCCCATGACCATTCGAGCTAAGAGTGGTGTTTTCAAACCCAAAACCTTCATTGCAACTAAGTACCCTCCTCTCTCACCTGAATCTAAACCTTCCTCTATAACCCAGGCCCTTTCTATTCCTCATTGGCGCTCTGCCATGCAAGATGAATTCGATGACCTCAAACGCAATCAAACCTAGGAACTTGTACTTGAACCCAAGGGCCATAACATTATCACCTACAAATGGGCGTTTCGTATTAAATGGGGTCCTGATGGGCGTGTGTCTCGTTACAAGGCTCGTCTTGTTGCACGTGATTTCTCTCAACAGCCAGGTGTGGACTTTCACGATACATTCAGTCCAGTGGTTAAGCCAACAATTGTTCGACTTCTACTCTCTCTTGCTATTTCCAAGGGTTGGCATGTTCATCAAGTTGATGTGCAAAATGCATTTCTACATGGGGATCTCACAGAAACTATATATATGTATCAACCACCGGGCTTCAAG